GGTCTTAGGCAACCTCTGTGAAAGGGTCATTCGACCCCCAAATGGTTCACGACCCACAGGTTGAGAACCGCTGCTCTAAGGAGAAATGTTTAAGAATGTGTTCTCAAGGTGCCCACTCACCTGAACAGGTTATTCGTGTCTTCTCGGGCCAGGTGCAAGTACCTTGCTCCTGTGCCGTCATGGCTGAGCTTTACGGCGGTCAGGAACAGTTCCGGGACAGACGTTACCTGAATCAACAAGAACATGAGGCCAAACTCAACTGGAAAGGCATTCTGAATGGTTACATTAAATCCACTGAGGGACCTGGCTGGAGGCACATCAGGCACCACCTGTCCCAAACCCAAATCTTGCCGATGAGGAAAGAAAGAGCTAGGCTGACAATCATACATACACACCTCTCCTTTTAGAATGCTTACTACACCTTAAGCTTATACAGTGATGGATGTCAACTATTTCTCAAATAAAACTGGGGGAAAAACCTTGAAAAATAAAAAAATCCAAATAAGGTGTCATTACCATACTGCAGTAGCAATCCTAATGCCTTTGCATGGCCTTTAGGGCTCACCGTGTCATGATTCACGGTTCCATGACCCTGCCTTGGGAGAGCCCCACATCACTGGCTCTACGAATGTGGCCCTACAGACAGATGGTGACTTTCCTTCTGAACTTACCCGCCCCCTTCTCTATAAACACCCCCTTCTCCAGGAACCTTGCCTTCTCCTTCCACCATGCAGCTCCCCTCCCTTCCTGCCTTCCTTTGGCTCTCTGCACTTCCACCATGACGTTCATCCCACTATGCCTGTATTACCCCTGCAGGGGTCCTCTAGAATGTGAGCTGTTTGCCTTTGTGCATGTCAGCATGTCAAGCACAGCAGGAAGCCAACAGCCAGCCAATCGTGTGAAACACATATTTCTCAATTACTGCATTAAAGGAAAAAAAAAGCAGAAGTTTAAGCAACACAAGAACAAAATTAAAATCCTTTTTAACATAACTTAAGTAAAGGTAGGAACATAATCTTTTTCCCATAATTCTGAAACCCACATGGCTCAAAAACAGAAAGTTTTTGCATAACGTTGCAGCAAACATATTTGATGATAAAACTTGACCTGAATGAATGTGGGTCATTCAGAGTCTTTGTGTATCACTCTCAGTGTGGACTGCCAGGTTAGAAACATTAATGAGTTTGGTTTACTTTCTAAAATCAGGAGTTCAGGGATAGGATTGGGGACCTGTTCTTAGGAAGTCCTTTCATTGCAGACTCCACACACACTGAGCACCTACTGTGAAGCAGGAGGAAGCCAGGGCACGGAAGAAAGATGAAAACAGATCCAGGGTCCACTCGAAGGCCCTCACAAGCTCCATTAAAGAGGTCAGGACAGGCCTTACCTGGCTCACGGTGAATCCATGGATCTTCTCTCCGACTTGGTACTGCAGCGCCCTCTCGCAGGCTTTCGTACTATTCCACCTCCATGCTCTGGGATGGGCACTGCTACAGTTAAGGAAAGTCATCAAAGTTAGAAGATCTGCAGGAAAATTGGGCTCACAGAGTTCAGCCACATAATGAAAATACTGTCATATGACTAAGATAATGCCAAGGAAAATTAAACCTTGAATCTTCCAAACACATTCCAGAAAACTAATTTCTAGCAAAGTTCCTTCAATTTTTAATAATCTTTTATCTCAACTCAACTAAAGCTTCATAATATCAACTAATAATTAAACATTGAAAACCGGTTTGAGTTAGTGGATAGAGCGTCACTCTCGATCCTTGGCCCTAGGTTGGGGCGCGTGCAGGAGACAACCAATCGGTGTGTCGCACATCCATGTTTCTCTCTCTGTATCTCTCCCGCTTCCCTTCCACTTCTAAAAACCAATGAATTTGGATTAACAAAACAAACAAAAGAAAACCTTTATTTGTACAGGTACATAAATAACTATAATGCAATTCTGACACCAATTTCCCTGAGTTGTGTGTGTGTGTATGTATGTGTATGTATGTATATATATATATATATGTATATATATATATATATATATATATATATATATATATGTATGTGTGTGTGTGTGTGTGTGTATATATCTCATGTCAAAATGCTTTTTCCATCACAGTATCTCAATAAACTCAAACTACAGTGAAGTCCCATGACACACCCACCAAATGGTGAAAACTAAGAAGTCCAGTATCACCAAAAGCTCTCTCACTGCTCCTGGGAGTGAAAACAGCAACAGTGACTGGGAACAGCATTTGGCATCACTTAGCTAGTAGTTCATGCGCCCTGACATGCAGGTATCCCCCGCTTTTCAAAGTTCACCTTCTGCCACTTCACTTTAGGAGACCTACATCACTATCTGTTTCAATAACCAAAAGACATCCCAAAGGGATCTTCTCTTTTACGAAAAAAGGCTGAAATATGAAATAGCATCCCGTGTTTGTTTTGCAGGAGCCACTACAGAGGCAGCGCACACCCAGAGCAGGGAGCGTGGCCCCACCAAGCTCCTTCCCTGGGAAGCACAAGCAGCCTCTCAGCATCTCGCCACCAGAGCTTTGAGCTGTATCAGTGAGCGTCTATACTGACTCTCGACTTATTGTGTGCATTCTGCCTTTTACTATGTGTCAGTGTTATTTTATGGGCTCATTGGTATAATTTGGCAGGTTATTTTGGGGGTTTGGGAGCACTCAAAAATGTTCTATATGAATTAATGGTAATTGCTTTTTGCTTTATGTCATTTCAGCAGAGGAGAGATTTCACAGGAAGTGCCTGCTTCAGGACCGTGGGGGAACCTGCAGATGTCCTGGAAACCTGTCCTGGGGCACCAGCACACATGTACAACAAGGCTGGCACCAACAGAGAGTGGATAAACTGTGCACTGTTCAATCAATAAACTCAGCCATCAGAACAGACTACAGCTACATGTAACAGAAATGTGGGTCGAATAACCCTGAACCAAAAAACTAAAAATACAAATTCAAAGGATAAACAGTGTTCTCCTAAGCAGGTATTGTTCAAACAGGTTAACACTGTATTGTAGGAATGTTATATACCAGTAGATGGTAAAACTATAAAGGAAAGCAAGGAGATAATTTCTGTAAACCAGGAGAGAAATTACATCTAAGAGGGAGGGAGGGTTATGACAGATTAGGGGTAACCTTAAACTGGGTAATGGGACACAACTTATTTTTAAATAAAAGTTCTCTCAACTATATTGTGTGTTTTATGGGATTTCCTGCATTAACATATCTCACAAAAATATTTCTTTTAAAGATATGTACAGAAAAGAAACAAAAACTCAGGCAATATCATGGAGATATTATAATCAGCCAACATTTTCCTTATTGATTTGGCAAATTCTAGAGTTGTGCGATACTTTAAAAAGTTATGTATCATCAAGAACCCAACCACAAAAAGCAAAACAGCCAACTGTATGACTGTCAGGGGCAACATGGGCTCTCCCCCCATACACCTTCTGGTCCGACTACACAGATGACAATGCTCCAAGACCACGAGGGCACCCCGACACATACTCCCCTGTTTCTTCACCTCCTAGGCTAACAGTACCATAAATTGAACAAGGTTTTGTGAATGACCATGAAACTAAACTTAGTTTAGTAAAATGTTACACTTTACAAACTCATCGGACATGGCACTCATTCAAGGTTGAAAACCAAATGTAATGTTTTTCCATAAATAGAGTCATTTTAAAAAGTTCAAATCCTGGAGGCTACAATGTTATTAAAAGGCAGCAGCTTAAATTTAAGTACTTCCTGTGGAAGCCTCGGGTCTCTTAAAGACTCTAGGCCAGTGATGGCGAACCTATGACACGAGTGTCAGAGGTGACACGCGAACTCATTTTTTTGGTTGATTTTTCTTTGTTAAATGGCATTTAAATATATAACATAAATATCAAAAATATAAGTCTTTGTTTTACGATGGTGGCAAATATCAAAAAATTTCTATATGTGACACGGCACCAGAGTTAAGTTAGGGTTTTTCAAAATGCTGACAAGCCGAGCTCAAAAGGTTCGCCATCATTGCTCTAGGCCAACAGCAAAGAAGTGGGGCAAACATATTAACAAGACCCATAACTGCCACTTTTATCACACATTAAAGCCCGCATCAATGACCACCTTCACTTCAAACGCCTTGACAACCTGCACTCAGGGCCACCCACTAGGAGGTCCCAAAGGAAAGGGGGTCACAGGAAAGCTCCCTGGGCCTGGCCCTGCTTTACTCCACACTAACCTCGCTGCCATCACCCCAACCCTGGTTCCTGGACAGGAACTCCCTTCCTTGGGGTAGGTGGGGGGCAGGTTGCTGGGCAGGGGAAGCCATTGGAGGGAGGGGGCACGCACTCCCATCAGGAGGAACTAAGGATCTGTCACTCAGGCCCTGAAAGGGTTTTCAGGCTGGGGGAACCCCAGAGGAGGGGTCTGAAGGTACTGGGGCCCACAGGGAGGAGTCCAGGAGTACTAGAGCCCACCGTGAGGGGTCTCGGGGTACAAAAGCCCCAGGAGAGGGCTCTAAAAATACAGGAGCCCCATTAAGGGTCTAAGAGTACCGGAGCCCCAGGAGCGGGATTTGGGGGTACAGGAGCCCCCCAAGAGAGGGGTCTCGGGTAGAGGACCCGGGGTGAGGGAGTCTCGGGATACGGGAGCCACCGATGAAGAGTCTTGGGATATGGCTCGGACAGGGGTTTCAGGGTGTGAGAGCCCCAAGCGAGATACCTCGGGGTACTGGAACCCCGAGGGGTCTAGGAGTCCAGGAGCCCCAGGAGAGGGGCTTTGGGGTACAAAAGCTACAGAAGAGAGTTCTCGGGGTACAGAGCCCTGGACAAGAGGCCTCGACGTACGGGAGCCCCTGGCGTGGGCATCTAGGAGTCCGAGAGGCCCAGGCCAGTGGGTCTAGGGGTCCAAGAGGCCCAGGCGAGGGGGTCTAGGGATCCAAGAGGCCCAGGCGAAGGGGTTTAGGGGTCCAAGAGGCCCAAGCGAAGGGGTCTAGAAGTCCTGGAACCCCAGAAGAGGGGGAAGGGGGAGCAGGAGCCCCAGAAGAGGAGTTTGGGGTACTGGAGCCGACGGCGAGGAGTTTCGGGGGGGCGGGAGTCTCCAAAGCAGAGAGCTGTGAGGCGGCACCTTCTGCCCGAGACCCTGAAGCCTCCAGCCACCTCCCCGCCGCCAGGATCCGGTCCGCCGCCCGCCCCTCTCCCCACCTCCCCTCTCCCCACCTCCCCTCCTTCCACCGCCCGCTCCGCGTCTCACCAGCGGCTCAGCCGCAGCGCCAGAGGGACCCGCCTGCTGCAGCGCCACATGGCGTGAGTGTGACCAGCGCAGGGTCAGCGGGGACCCACTTATCCCGACGCACTGTGCCAGCCGTGATCCCATTGGTTGGCGCCCATGGCGACGCCCTCTCCAATAGGCCGGCGCGGAAAAGGGCGGGCTCCTGCTGCGACGGGGCGGGACTCTGGACCCTGGGAGGCAACTCGCACGAGGTGGGCGGGGCATCCACGGCCTGCGGATTGCAGAACCTCAGGCTACGTGGGAAGGGGCGGGGCCGGACCGCGGAGCCCGGGGGCGAATGCGCTGGGGGCGGGGCCTTGGGGCACAGCGAGGGGCGGGGCTGAATGAGCTGCACGGGGCTCACCCGAGGAGGGGCGGGGCCCGGCGAGGGGCTGCGCTGTGCAGATGAGGAGCTGGGATTGGTCAGGTGAGAGGAGGGTCTCTGGAGTTGAGGGGCAAGCCCACTCCTCTCCCCACGGCCTTGTGTGTCTGGGAAGACAACACACATGACTTCTAAGACTTCAGAGTACCCACGGGCCCTTCTTGAGCCCTCGGAGAGGCTTAAGGAGGGCAGAGCATGAGTGGATGGGCCCGCACTGCGCGGTGGGCTCCCAGGGGCGTCTGAGATGAACCACACCTGGGCACTGCGTGGGTGGGTGGAGCGGGGAAGAAGGCAGTACCCATGTCTGAGTTCCGCTCTCAGAGCTTTGGCCTCCTCTCTGTCTCCCTCATTTCTTCCCCTGGCCCACTACGGCAAACGGACTCAAACTCTCTGCCCCTTCTTCCAGGCACTAAAGAAAGAAGGCTAAGTAGCCAAGTGCGATCAGTCTCAACATATGAAAGCTTTGGCAGCAATGTAGAGAGGTCCATACCGTGATGAAAAGCCACCAAAAGTTTACCAAAAGCTGTCCACAGGGCAGCGGATTCTGCAGTTAACCAAATATCTATTAAGACAGTGGTTCTCAACCTTCTGGCCCTTTAAATACAGTTCCTCATGTTGTGACCCAACCATAAAATTATTTTTGTTGCTATTTCATAACTGTAATGTTGCTACTGTTATGAATCGTAATGTAAATATCTGATATGCAGGATGGTCTTAGGCGACCCCTGTGAAAGGGTCGTTCGACCGCCAAAGGGGTCGCGACCCACAGGTTGAGAACCGCTGTATTAAGAGGACAACCCAACTGCACCAGAACAAACAACAGTGAGGATGAGAAGCTACTGACACAAACACACTCCTTGCATATACCTTAATTTTAGTGAGCATTCGGGTGATTATTGTTCCTGACTCACCACAGCAGTTCTGTGATCTTGGGGAGACTGTTGGGTATTATTAACCCTACAGTGATTGTGCAGGAAACGGAGGCACTGGGTGGGAGGTTGAAGTGTTTTGATCTATCTGAAGAACAGATGTTGTTAGATCCAGTAATTGCCATGTACTAGGATGTTCCCACAGGATACAACCTCACTGATGGCTGGCCTACACATACACACACAAAATAAAAATGTATAAATAATTATTTTGAGCAGCACCCAACATGTAGTCTCAATTTATATTAAGATAAATAATTGCAATGTGAAATGAAAAATTATCTATGCAATATCCTATGTTACAAAAACATATCCTGTGTTATAATGAAACTCATTGCTTCAAGAAGATTAGCAAGTGAGCATTGGTCAGAATAGATTGTGACTGGGACTTAGAAAGGCAATCAAATGAATATTGGAATGTTACAGATTGAATTGTGTCTCCCCAGAAAGATATGTTAGAGCCCTAATCCCTACAACCTCCAAATAGAGCTTCATTTGGAAATAGGGTCTCTACAGAGGTCATCAGATTAAAATGAGGTCATTAAGATGGGCTCTAATCTGATATGACCCGTGTCTTTATAAAAAGGGGCTATTTGGACACATTGAACAAGAAAGTAAAGATGCATCTACATGCCAAAGCACACCATGGATTTCTGGCAACACCAGAAGCTGGGGGAGAGGCATGAACAGATTCTCCCCATAGCCTCAGAAGGAACCAATCTGTCAACATCTTCATCTCGACTTTCTGTCTTCCAGAGCCATGACATAGTAAATTTCACTTGTTCTAAGCCATCCACTTTGTGGTATTTACTTATACAAAGATGTGGCATTTTAATGCACACTTTAAATACATGTACTCTTTTTTTAAAAAAGAATAGATTTTTATTGATTTTTTACAGAGAGGAGGGGAGAAGGATAGAGAGTTAGAAACATCGGTGAGAAACATCGATCAGCTGCCTCCTGCATGCCCCCCACTGGGGATTGAGCCTGCAACCATGGTACAAGCCCTCAACCAGAATCAAACCCGGGACCTTTCAGTCTGTGGCCCGACGCTCTATCCACTGAGCCAAACCGGTCAGGGCAATACATGTACTCTTTCAACAGAAATTTCACTTCATGAAAATTACCCTACAGTAATATTCTCACAAGGGCACAATGATGTATAAAGATGTTTCCTAAAGCATTTTTGGTTACAACAAATACTGAACAACATAGCCTGGCCAGGTGGCTCCGTTGGTTGGAGTGTCATCCCATACACCAAAAAGTTGTAGGTTTAATTCCGGGTCAGGGCACATACCTAGGTTGTGGGTTTGATCCCTAATCAGAGTGCATACAAGAGGCAACTGATCAATGTTTCTTTCTCCCTGTCTCTCTCTCTCTCTCCCTTCTTTTCTCTCTGAAAATCAACTTAAAACAACAACAACAACAGCCCACAAACATATCTTTCAGTGAGAAAACAAAACAAAACAACATAAAATTCTATCAAAGAGGAGTTTTCTTAAATAAAATATAACACATTCATATAACTAAATACTATTCAGACAGTAAAAAATAGTGCTATACATATATATTTTTATCACAAGGGAAAGGAAGCCAAAAGCAAGATGAAGCTTTCACATGAGTGGGAAAAATATACTCCCATTTGAGTGGAAAGAGTCAAAATGAGATTTTAATGATAAATCTAACATAACACTTTAATGAAATACATTTAGGAAGACCTAAATAAATGGCAATACATTCTATATTCATAGGTAGGAAACCCAGTATGACAAAGATGTCATCTGTTGCCCCAAAATGCAATGCAATTCCAATAACAATCCCCACAGATTAGGAGCTCAAAGTGATCCTACAATACAGTTGGTGGAGAAGAGTCAAGAACAGGCAAACAAATTTTAAGAAGGACAATGTGGGAAATTTATTTTAGTAGAAATTAGGAAAAATCTTATTATTCAGGACTTTTAGACTTATTAAGTCTAAAAACTACAACAAAATAAGACAGTGTGTATTAGCACAGAGAGAGGGGTAAAGAGGCTAAAGGAATATAGAGAAAGCCAGGAATAGACACCTAGAACTGGAACAGAATCTATGAGTATTGTAATTATATGGGGGGGGATGGGGGGGGGGGAGGGAGATTAAATCACTACTTCAAATCCCTCTGCACCTACCCGGAGGCCATAGTGGTACTGTATTTCTTTTAAGGACTTTAAGATTTACTTTTCTCATTTGTGCTTTTAATACACATGGTTTTAATTTTGTTCTGCTTCATGTAATAGAAAATCCTCAAGATTGAAATGGCCTTAGAACAACTCATTAAGTTCAACCCTCCAACTTATGGCACAATGTTAGGGTTGGAGTTGAGGCAGAGAAAGGACCTCCACCCACACATCATCCATAGCATGTATTTGCTGATGCCTGAAAAACTTCAGCAGATAGAATTGCGCTCCAAAGAGCAAAATGCTTGAAATGCAAATACTCATTTTCTTAAATTTATGTTGAGAGTGAATGACTTTTATTGAATAATGTTGTAAAGGAAAATTATTGACTGGGAAATGAGATAGCAAGCATCACAGGATATGGGAAAAGGGTATTGTCACCTGGGGGAAATGATAAAATGAAGAAGGGAAAAATAAAACCCGGAAACTCCCGAAGACAATAGTTACTTGCTTTAAATGTTTCTTACCTAAGGCTAGCCATTATTCAAATTCTAAACATTGTGTGTGGTTCAGACATTTTAACAGCAACTCAAATGCTACCTTTCCCTTGTGAATGACTTGGTAGCTGGTGTAACTAATCCACAGCCCACTCACCTGGTTACAATACAGAACTATTGTGTTTGACCTTCTATTTTCTCTGTAGTCTTGGATTACAGCACTCATGTGACAATTCATTTTATAACACTTGTGACTGTTTATACTTTTGCCACTGGTTTCCAAGGTAGGACTGCTTTGTGCTCAGAATCACTTTGTTTGGACATGTATGTATAGGCTCCCAGGACACACTACCTAGTTTGCTGCTGCTGAGCTTTGCATAAAAGTTTAGAAACTAGCTCTTCATGCAGAGATTAAAGACATGGTGCTGACGTTCATGGAACCCTTGGTCTATCATAGGTTACAGAAAAGTACATGGAAAATTACTGCCCTGTCTAATGTGGTGCTCTAGGGGAGCACCAAGGCAAAGATCTCATCACAAAATGATGGCTCAGCGAAGACTTCCCTGGAGAAGGAGTCAAACGAGACTTTACAAAATGCTGAATTAATAACAGTGTGCCATGTCTGTATTCATCTCCTGTTGATGCTAGAACAAATTACCATGACTTTCATGGGTTAAAACAATGCAGGTTAATTCTCTTACAGTTCTGCAGGTCAGAAGTCCCACTCAGGTCTCACTGGGCTAAAATAAGGCGTCAGCAAGGGTGTGCTTCCCTTGAAAGCTCAAGAGAGAAAACGTCCTCTGCCTTTTCCAGCTTCCAGAGGACACACACACATTCACTGGCTTGTGGCCTCTTTCTCCATCTTTCTTTTGTCCTCCATCCAGTCTTCCTCCCAATGCCATATTTCTGGGCCTCCTGCTTCCCTACTTAATGACTCTTATAACTACAGTGGGCCCACCCAAATACTTCAGCCTGATCCCCTTACTTTAGAGTCATCTTATTGGAAACCTTAATTCCATCTGCTATCTTAATTCCTTCTTACCTTAGTTGCAGGTTCCAGGGATGAGGATATGGACATATTTGGGGTCATTATGTTGTCTATCATAATGTTAAAATAAATCTCCTTCCTGTATCATGA